TAATAATAATACTTTTGCACCTTTGCATCAATTTATCTTTTAACATGCTGGTAAGTTCAAATTAAGTAGGGACATTTTGTTGTTCTTTTTTCCTTTTTTCATTAATGATGTTTTTAATTGTCAAAGTGTGTATTGGTAATTGCAAGTTTTTAGACTAATTAACGCGATATTTTAATTTTAGTTTTAAACAGAAGTACCCAGCATATTTTTTTTGTTTTTAAAGCAAAACTTTTATTCTGGTTTGTTGATTTTTACAATTACAAAATTAATGCAATACAAATCTGGCAATAAATGTTTATTTGAGCAATTGTGTCAAAAAATCCCCTTTCTAAAAGAGCAATTACATTACCAAATAACCTACAAACATTTCAAACAAAAAACTCATTGAGAATCACTAATTACTATTAAATTGATGGCTTGCTTTTAGTTGTAATTATAGCAAAATAATAAAGGCTTTGCCAAAAGACACTGCTTCACTGTTATCACTATCAACCCTGTCTGCTGTACAGCCTGATAAAAGCATCAACAGCTTCATCGAAACTGAATACTTTCTTTTTTGCCTATTCTCATCAAAGTTTTTCGCCGTCTCTCTCATTTTTTGCCCCTTTTCTGTCAAGTGAACAACCTTGACTAAATAATGGTTGGGAAGACAGGGAAGAACAAAATGAAAAAAAGTGTAATACAAATCCAAATGTACAACAAGGAAACGACCGAAAGATGCTGTCGGTGTATAAAAACTGATGAAAAAGAAATCAATAAGTTGGTTCAAAGTGAAAAGTTTTTTAGTAAAGTAAAGCAGTTGAAAAATGGCCACCAAAAACGAGCCACTAAAGAACAACCAGAAAGGTCCGCTCAGTTTCGACGATCTTTCTGCATCTGATTTGATTCGTGGGACGACTCCAGTGGACATTAAGGCTCGCTGCCTAACTGTCTGCCGCTCCTACCTTGCCGCAAGCTGGCTCAGCGCCACTGAAGAGGACATCGAAGTGACGAGAATCACCGGCGGACTGACAAACCAAATTTATCGGGTGAAACTGCTGAAAACAGATGAAAGTGTAAAGCGAGAACTGTGCACCGATGTGGCCATCAAGTTTTACCTGCCCAAGCTGGTGGCCAACTTTGATGCAGAGGATGGCGAGCGCCTAAATGACACCATCATCCTAACTATTCTCTCTGAACTTGGCATTCATCCTAGAGTGTTTGGAATCTTCAAAGACGGTTTTGTGCAGGAGTACGTAGAGGTGAGTTTCATTTTAATTATTATTCAAAAATTTATCGAGTTTTACTCCCTTTTTCAGCATCATCAATTTGGTCCTGAGCACCAGAAACAACCGGAGCTTCTGCGAATTGTAGCCCACCTGATGGCCAAAGTTCATTCGCTTCAAGTTCCAATTCGAAAGAATCTCGATGCGCTGACCTCAGCAATGGGCCGCCACATCGATGAAGCCTATGAAGATGGTCGCATGGAACTGATAAAAGAACTGAATTTAAAAGCCTTTGCTT